TTAGAAAAATTAAAAGAATAGCATATCACACAGCAACAAGACATAATGGAAAAAAATATTCAGCAAAAAAGAGAGCAAAGCTGATAAATTGCATGACATCACCAGCTACAACTCTTAACAGGACGCTAAATGAAAGCTAAAAATTAGATACAACACTCAGTCTACTAAGTTTAGATGGCCATGACCTACAAAATACACATCTACATATTCGAAGTAAATCAAGTATTGAAACTCGCGATTTCTTAATATTAAACAAATCGTAATTATTGCATTCCAAAAATAACAAAAATATTATTTTACAGAAATCAAACACCGCTTGGGGATAACATAGTATGGGAAACAGGGAGAGAGTTTACACCTTCTTTCCAGAAAGCCTTTCCAGCTTCGCAGCAGAATCAACAACTACTATTTCCTTCCCGTCCTCACTGATCCATACTGGAACAGGTGTTCCCCAAAACCTATTCCGGCTGATAGCCCAGTCTCGTGCATTCTCGAGCCAATTATGGAACCGTTTATCCTGTCAGGGAACAGAATAAGTCAATAATGAATAATCCATCTCAAAATTCAAGTAACAAGAAGAAAAAAAATCTCATGGACAGCATTTACATCACATTCAAAACAGATAAGCATCAACGACTAGAAGCAAAAAGTACAAGTAGGATTATTTATACTGAAAAAAAAAAGTAGTTTAGACAGCACATTGCAAGAGGAAATTATTTTACGGAGACACATGTCATCTTCAACATGAGGCATAAAAAAGAAAGTTGAAGAAGGCCCCACATACGAGTACTCTCACCTTTACAAAATCCGGCACCCAGTAAGTCTGTTTGTTGGCTTCAAGCAGTTGATCTTTAAACTTCTCCACCTCAAGAAACCTAGAAGTACAATACCAAGTACACATATTGAATAGAAACAAAGAGAATGGAAACTGCACAACACCATGAACTGAATCCACCAAGAACAGAATAATTATGCTACAGCAATTATAATCGATAAATAATCAACAGGAACCGGATCTACATACACGAGTAACACGATATAGGTACTAGCTATAGAGACTTTCCTTTAGATTGCATGACAAGGCCCACATACCAGCTTAAACAGG